ACGGGGTTTCACCATGTTGACCAGGATGGTCTCGATCTCTTGACCTCGTGATCCACCCGCCTCGGCCTCCCAAAGTGCTGGGATTACAGGCTTGAGCCACCGCGCCCGGCCTCATATGTCTTTTTCATATGACTTCTTTTCCTCTGGGAATATACCCAGTAGTGGGATTGCTGGGTCAAATGGTAGTTCTACTTTTAGTTCTTTAAGGAATCTCCATAGTGTTGTCCATAGCGATTGCACTAGTTTACATTCCCACCAGCACTGTCAAAGTGTTCCCTTTTACCACATCCATGCCAACAGCTGTTATTTTTTTATTTTTCAATTATGGCCTTTCTTGCAGGAGTAAGGTGGTATCTCATTGTGGTTTTGATTTGGATGTCCCTGATAATTAGTGATATTGAACATTTTTTCATATGTTTGTTGGCCATCTGTATATCTTCTTTTGAGAATTGTCTATACATGTTTCTTGCCCACTTTTTGATAGAATTGTTTTTTTCTTGCTGATTTGAGTTCTTCATAGATTCTGGATATTACTCCTTTGTCAGATGCATGGTTTGTAAATATTTTCTCCCAGTCTGTGGGTTGTCTATTTGCTCTGCTATTCTTTTGCTGTACAAAAGCTTTTTAGATTAGTTTTTTAGTTTAATTTTAGTTTAAAGATCTATTTATCTTTGTTGCTGTTGCATTTGCTTTTGGGATCTTGGTCATGAACTCTTTGCCTAAGCCAATGTCTAGAAGAGTTTTTATGATATTATCTTCTAGAATTTTTATGGTTTCAGGACTTAGATTTAAGTCTTTGTTCCATCTTGAATTAATTTTTATATAAGGTGAGAGATAAGGATTCAGCTTCATTCTTCTACATGTGGCTTGCCAACTATCCCCATACTGCTGGCTGAATAGGATGTCCTTTCCCCATTTTATGTTTGTGTTTGCTTTGTCAAAGATTAGTTGGCTGTAAGTATTTGGCTTTATTTCTGGGTACTCTATTCTTTTCCATTGGTCTACACGCCTATTTTTATACCAGTACCATGTTGTTTCAGTAACTATAGCCTTGTAGTATAGTTTGAATTCAGGTAATGTGATGCCTCCAGATTTGTTCTTTTCACTTACACGGGCTCTTTTTGTTCCATAACAAGGCACTTTCATTTTCTCATTTCATCCTTAAAACAGCCTATGTTCAAATATCAGTCAGTAAGTGGTAAAACCAGGACCTAAATCTAAATCTGAATTCACATTCAGTGTTCTCTTAATTAAAACCTGCTGTGTACAGGAATGTTCATATCAACATTATTCTTAATAATACAAAACTGGACACTAGTCAAATGCCCATCAATAATAAATTGATAAATAAAAGTGTGGGATGTTTACACAATAAAATACTATATATCAATACAAAGCTCTCATACAGTATGCATGAATTTCAAAAACATAATGTTGGAGGACAGAAGCCAGAAACAAAATAATATATACTATATGATCCCATTCATATAAAGCACAAAAAAAGTGACAAAATGAATGCACACTATTAAAAACCTGCATGGTAGTTATCCATGCAAAAGGGCTTCTAATCACTTTCTGTTCCATGATCTGAGTGCTTGTTATAAGTGATACAGCTATCTAGGCACATTTATTTTTATATATTATATGTAAATAGAAAGGGTTTATTTAAGTCCAAGGGCTATAAAACAGATAGGTTTTGAGGATTAAATCCAGTGCCTTTTTCTTTTCCAGGTACCACATTCTAGTCCAGTGGTTTCTAAACCTGGCAAAATCAGCAAAAAAGGCAGCACTTCTTGAACATACAGATTCTCCAGCTAGAGATTTGGATTCAGATTACATGTGATGGGGAGCCTAGAATATATATTTAAAACAAACAAACAAAAATCTCTTTATGATTCTTTTGATTATTCATGGAAGAAGTGCTTCTAAAAAGTAACTAAGAGAATTTTGAACTTCTTTTTCCACAGGATAAAAAAATTAATCTAAAGTAGTTAAATGTTCACAAAATTGCCAGAATACTTTTTATATGTTCCCAGCAAAGTCTGTGCATCGAAGGCCAGTCAATGAATCAAAACCCTACCTCTGACCCCATATGGGATGTACACACAACAGCAAGCAGTGATATCCAATCAGGTTACAATCTAAACATGGGAAGAAATAGAAACAGTCTTACCATAGAGTTTTTCTTGGATCCTATGTTCCTCGGCTAATCTTTCTTCAGCAGCCCGTCTTCCAAAACCAGCTTCCTTTCTAGCAACAGCTAGGTCATACTCCAGACTTTGTCGCAACGCTTCTCCTTTTTCAACCTCGGACCGTAGCTTGGCAATCTGGCTCTCATAGCATGCCAGCTAAAAACAGATTTCTGGTATCAACATGTGTCCACAGATTATGAGATCATACACTCAAACATATAAGTTTCCTAGAGAAACTTGTTTCCATAATATATACAAGGCAAAAATTTATAAATTTATATATTCAGAATCACTGGAAAAAAAAAGCACTACCTTGCAAAATGACACTCATTAAGTTTATTTATTTATTTATTTATTTATTTATTATTTTAGAGAATTCACTAGAGAAAAAAATCCAAAAAATCTTATAAGAACTTTTTATAAAAATAAAAATAAATTACACGTTTAATCAGAAATAGTCACACCTTGGCCAGGCATGGTGGCTCACTTCTGCAATCCCAGCACTTTGGGAGGCCAAGGTGGGAAGACTGCTTGAGGCCAGGAGTTTGAGACCATCCTGGGCAACATGGTGAAATCCCATCTCTAGCAAAAAAAAAAAAAAAATTAGCCAGGCATGGTGGTACATACCTGTAGTCCTAGCTACTACCTAGGGGGCTGAGGTGAGAGGATCGCTTGAGCCCAGGAGGTGGAGGCTACAGTGAGCAGAGGCCGCACCACTGCACTCCAGCCTGGATGACAGAAAGAGATCCCGTCTAAAAAATAAACAAATAAAAATAAAAGAAAAAAATAACAAAAGAAAACACTGTTGTTTTGGGGTTTTTTTTATTATTGTTTTTGTTTTTTTTAATAAAAGGCCAGACCCAGTGGCTCACGAACTATAATCCCAGCACCTTGGGAGGCCAAGGCAGGCAGATCACTTAAGCCCAGGAGTTCAAGACCAGGCCAAGCCACATGGAGAGACCCTATCTCTATACAAAAAAGTAATAATACAAAAATTAACCAGGCATGGTGGTGTGTGCCTATAATCCTAGCTACTCGGAAGGCTGAGATGAAAGGATCACTTGAGCCTGGGAAGCGGAGGTTACAGTGAGCAGAGACCACACCACTGCACTCTATCCTGAAGAAGAGAGCAAGACTGTCTCACAAAAAAAAAAAAAAAGAAAAGAGTATTTATACTAAAAAACAAAAAAATGCATGATACATACTAAGCACTTAAAAATTCATTCTTTCCTCTCCTTTTATTCCCTAAATGAAACCAATAAACAAATTGCATCAACATATAGTTTAATAAATATGGTCTATATTATTTCTCTTGATTATAACATTGCTGATCATAAAGTCATAAAAGTGTCCATTTTATATGGATTTAAGTGATCAAATATCTAATTTGTGATATTTGTATTCATGAAGTAGCTTGACAGAAGATAATAGGTCAGAGACAATTGGCTTCTCAATAGGTTAGATCGATGGGAGGCACATGTGCAGTGATTGACAGGAAGGGAAGTGAAGAAGCCAAGATATTTCTGCCTCTCGAGATCTACCTCAAGCAGTTATTCCTGTCTTGTCTGTGGCTGCAAATCCTTATGGATAGTCCCTCCCTCCATGGGCCTTGCTTTTTCCAATTCTAGCTCTAATCAACCTTGGGAATAGAAGCAGTTCTTAATGTTGTTGGGTTGCCTTAATCTCCTCTAGTTGTCTTTTCAGCTTTTCTAGTACCTACCTATGTAACCAATACCCACTACTAATGTCCCTTTGTTGTAAGACTTAGAATGGTTTCTGTTTTCCTAACTGGACATCCAGTAATGTTGCTCTTGGTATCAGAAATTGTCTCAAGACGGGTAAATATTGGATGGCTGACACATTTAAGCCTGAACACAGTGAAAGCCTCTTTGCAGATAAAAATGGGATTCAGTGATCTACAGCATACAGTAGGACCACAGTTCTTTAAATTATGGTGTGCAGTTGTTTAGGATGAAGTGCCAGTTGAAAACAAGCCTTCAAAAACTGAAGTAATGAACGCACTTAACTATGATGGCAGTACTGTTTTACTATAAGGCCTATAGGGTAGAAAAGCTAAATCTCACTATACTAGAGAATTTACAAAAACAAAATGATAATCTCAGAGCTTTAGAATCTCAGTATAAGACAGTCAGAAAACCAGAGTTTTTATGGTGACTTTAAAGAACTGCTTATTTCTTATAGCCCCAGGGCAGATAAGGTTATAAATAAACCTGAAAATCTAATTATTGGAAATGCAAAATTACAAGTTCAATGAAGAGTTTCACCAAGTATCTACTGTTAAGATGGTATCAGCTGGGGTTTTTTGTTGTTTTTTTTTTTGAGATGGAGTCTCTCTCTGTCGCCTAGGCTGGAGTCCAGTGGCACAATCTCGCCTCACTGCAACCTCTGCCTCCCGGATTCAAGTGATTCTCCTCCCTCAGCCTCCCAAGCAGCTGGGACTACAGGCATCCACCACCATGCCCAGCTAATTTTTATATTTTTAGTAGAGATGGGGTTTCACCATGTTGCCAGGCTGGTCTTGAACTCCTGACCTTGTGATCCGCCTGCCTCAGCCTCCCAAAGTTAGCTGGGTTTTAAGTAGGAAGGAAGAACATAGGATGAGGATTTTTAGAATTAAACAAACCTAAAAACTATGAATTCTCAAATCCCCCTGAACATTCCTTACCAAAAAAAAAAAAAGCTGTCCCTCCTCCCTGACTGAGGTAACCAGCCTTTCCTTGCTGAAAGATTTAGTAATGACTACACCTGAAGCAGCTGCCTTGCAAGAGAATTTCCAAGAGCCACCTACACTGCTGTGTCACCACAGATTGACTCAGATCTCAGTATGCTACAGAAGGAAAAATGCAGTCTGCTCCAGGAGGAAACAGCTTATACAGCAGAAGAACTGAAAGATCTTGCTAATCTTGTATTCACAGGAACGTGGAGAACATGTACAAGATTGATGTGGATTTTGTAAGTTAACTCTAACAGTTTTGCTTGGATGGTTGACTGAAAATTGAATTCAACATTGGCCTACAATCATTTCATAAAGTCAAAATACCAGTACTTTCCTGACACAATACAGAGGCAAACCAAAGCCTCCCTTTTCCCTGACTACATCCTCTTCAAGTGCACAAAGTACATCACTTAAAATTAAAATGCTATCCAGGTGCAAAGGCTCACTTCTGTAATCCCAGCACTTTGAGAGGCTGATGAGGGAAGGTTGCTTGAGGCCAGGAGTTTGACACAAACTGCAAAACACAACAAGACTCCATCTCTACAAATAATAATAAAAATAAATGATCCAGGTGCTATAGTCCTAGCTACTTGGGAGGCTGAAGCATAAAATCACCTGAGCCCAGGAGTTCCAGGCTGTAAGGAGCTATGATCACATCACTGCACACTAGCCTGGGGAATACAGCAAGACCCTGTCTCTAAAAAAAGATTTAAAACAACAACAAATATACAAACACACACACAATAACTGAAATATAATATGTGATATGTAGCCATAATTTCTTTTTTTATTTTTTGAGACAGTGTCTCACTCTGTTGCCCAGGTTGGAGTTCAGGGGTGCGATCTCTGCTCACTGCAACCTCCGCGTCCCAGGTTCAAATGATTCTCCCACCTCAGCCACCCAAGTAGATGGGATTGCAGGAGCACACCACCACACCTAGCTAATTTTTGTATTTTTAGTAGAGGCAGGCTGTTGGCCAGGCTGGTCTCAAACCCCTGACCTCAAGTGATCCACCTGCCTCAGGCTCCCAAAGTGCTGGGATTACAGGCATGAGACACAGCACCTGTCCTGTAGCTGTAATTTCTAAAATGGGACATGTATCTGTGATTTCAGTTGATGATACTCAAAAGTACTGCAAACACTCTATGATTTGTTAAAAGGAGGACTGGGTAGGTCAAGCCCTTCAGAACTGAAGGAAATGCTTAATATCGGTTAGGGGTTAATAAAAATAAAATTATAACTTTTCCCCATCCAAGTTCACAGACTCCTTGATTTATCTTTCTGAGGACTCTAGCTTAAGAATCCCTGCTATTAAGAGTACTGGCTGTGTCAGATACTATCTTCAGGCCATAAAGCCTACAGATAGTCCTAAGTTTCCAGTATTTTTTGGCTAAAAGAAGTTATGTCAGCTGGGTACAGTGGCTCATACCTATTGTCCCTGCACTTTGGGAGGCCAAGGTAGGTGGATCACTTGAACCCAGAAGTTCAAGACCAGGCTGGGCAGCATGGCAAAACCACACCTCTACTAAACATACAAAAAATTAGCTGAGCATGGTGGCACGTGTCTGTATTCCCAGCTACTTGGGAGCCTGAGGCAGGAGACTACTTGAGTCCAGGAGGTTGAGGCTGCAGTGAGCCAAGATCATGCCATTGCACTCCAGCCTGGGTGACAAAGCAAGACCCTATCTCAAAA